TCAGCAGGAGGAGAAAGAACGGATCGCGCAGTTCGTGTTCGCCAAAGATGCTAAATCCGCCATGGTGGGTAAAACAGATTGACAGATGGATAGACTTCACAATAAATATCAACTTTAACTTAGAAAATAATCATTTTAACATTTTTTGGTTACATTTTACTTGAAGGGGTGTGCATAAGACTGACATGACACCTTCATAATCATGACATGACAGTCATGAATATGAAGGAGGTTTTATGCATGTTTATGACAACTGTCATTAAGTGTCATTCGCTCAGTTATGTCATTTTTAATGCAAAGATGACATTGTTTGAGATGACTTTGTTATGGGCTATGGTTAGGGGTAGGGTTAGGTTAGGGTTAGGTCAAATAATGTCATATTTGCATTAAAAATGACATAACTGAGCGAATGACACTTAATGACAGTTGTCATAAACATGCATAAAACCTCCTTCATATTCATGACTGTCATGTCATGATTATGAAGGTGTCATGTCAGTCTTATGCACACCCCTTCAAGTAAAGTGTTACCCATTTTTTTTGCACTTCTGATATTTAATATTATGTTAATATAATTTTTTTTGTTAATATTTCACTTTGCACAGCTTTGCTGCAAACTCCTTGATACAAGTACAAGCTCACTAAAGATGACTAAAATTGAAATGATCGATAGATTTGCTATCTAATTGTCATTGCAATTTACAAGTGGTATCTACTAACTTTTTATGAGAAATTTGCATTTTTATGCATGCATTTATTAATTCATTCATTCGTTTATTTATTTACTTATTTCTGCATTCGTTATTTATTTATTTCATGAATCACTCAATTAATATAATTATTCATGCATTCATTTTATTTATGCTTTTCTTTTTATGTAATTGTTTATTATTTATTAATTGGTTCATTTATTTACACATTTTTATTTATGCATCATTCATTTATTAATTAATTCATTTAATTTATTTATGCATCAATTCACTTATTCATTCAGGCATTCATTATTTATTGATTGATGCATACATTCATTTACTAATTAATTGATTCATTTATATATTATTTATTTATTTGTTTATGAATTCATTTAGTTTATTAGTTAATTAATGAATTTATGCATTCATTCATTATTTATTGATTTATGCATGAATTCATTCATTCATTGATGCATTCATTTGTTTACGATACAATACGATATAACTTTATTGTCAGACAAAGTCTTATATTTGTCTTGCGTTACAGCAGGTTATCTCACAATTACAAAACTTTATCACTTGGACAAAAGACCGACAGAACTTTCACAGTCAAAAAAAAGAAAAGGAAAAAAAAACCTCCAGTACGGATTACATTTTTTTGTAACTTGTTCAGCTCTAAAACAGCTTGGTGTACAAAGGAATACTTAATTTGATTATATCTTGGAACCTTATTCCACTGATTTATTTAGTTATTTAATAATAGTACCATGCTGTCTGTTGGTTTTTACATTTCTTTGTGTGTTTGCATCAGGCTGGTCGTCTGCTGATCAGAAAGCTGGTGTGTGAGAAGATGGGTTTTGCATGGGACGGGTTTCGGCTGGAAAGAACAGCGCGGGGGAAACCGTTCTTGCCACGGACCTCATCCACCCCCGGCGTAACCCACTGGAACTTCAACGTGTCCCATCAGGGAGATTACGCCGTGCTGGCAGCAGAACCGGGACGCCAGGTGGGCGTAGACGTGATGAAGACCAGCAGACCAGGTAACTTTCACTGCCCTTGAGCTCCTACTATGTCACCTGAGCTTACAGTCCTCACAACAGTCACCAATACAACACGAGACACTGCAGTTCCATCAGCGGCCAGCAGGTGTCGCTCTATACCTGTGCTTTAGGCAGAGCAGGCTGGGAAAGAATGTAGCTCAGAAAGGGTTTTTGAGGTGCATAATTTCTGGCTTTGCTGTAAAATGTAAATTTGTATCAGCTCGTAGGAACCATGTTTCCGTGTAGAACATGATTATTAAATTACTGATTTTTCTTGCTTTTATGAAATAATGCAGAGTTCTATGTACTATGTGATTCACTATCATAACATCCACAACTATAAACTCCCTCCACGGTCACCCAAAACATTTTCTGAAATAAACTGCAAAAACAACAGATTCATTATGACAACACTAATTAATTATGATAGATTATGTATACTAAAAAAAGAAGAAAAAGTATTACGCTGATTTGACCAAATTACCAGTGTTTTTTTTTTTTTTTGGCTTGATATGAAATATACTG